AAAACAATTAGCTATATGAAATACCGACTGCAATGTATGTCAAAATACTGTGGAAGAAATATTAAAGATTTACCATTCTAGAGACTCTACACTTCCTTTTCCTTCCTTGCATATTTTCCATCAAATTGAACTCAATCAAATACACATCGCTTGTCAGTGAAGTCTAAAACAAATTGTAGGAATTGTTAAGACGTTCTGCGGCGGATGCAGGATTTGGCGGTAGGAGTGCGTGCAAAAAATTGAAGAATTAGTACCTCAGATGGCCGGAAATGACACATAGTAAAATTCATCATCATCACATAAATATATCATTATAAAGTCAAAATGAAGCGCCAACAAATTTTCATGATCTTGTTTTTTTTTTTTATCGTCGATTTTCGGCAACCATAAAGATCTAAGTAGTATGTGTGATGAACCATAGAAATATAACTTAAAAAACATTCTCTTTGATGTATTTACTTTACCTACTTTAAAGCAGTGAGTCCACAACCACCTCTGTCCCACCATGGTTTGGGCTGTGGTGGGTGAGAATATTTGAGGAAATAGTACCTTTAGATGGCTGGAAATGACACTTTTATATAGTGAAATTCATCATCATCACACCATCATGTCTAGATGAAGCGCCAGCAAATTTCTCATGATTTTTAATCATGGATTTTTGAACACAGCGATCTAATTATTATGAGTGATGTACCATAAAAAAACCCCAATTTTTTAATTGTATTTTCTTTACTTGACCTACCTCAAAGCTGTGTGGCCACATTCACCTAAACCCCACCACTGTAATTTGTGGCTGAGGTGGTAAAATTTGGGGAAATTTTACTGAAGATTGCCGGATGTGACACTCTTATAAATTATGTAAAATTCATTATTATCGATCTAATTAATCGCTGTGATGTACCGTAGAAAATAAAACTTAATTGTCTTTGATGTATTCACTTTACCTACTTCATGTGCCAAAAACCAATTTTATCTTTACACGCTTTTTCTCATAAAGGCACGCGCACCCTATAGTGTCTCAGAAAGAAAGTCCCCATGCCTAGGGCTTGGGCAATTTTTTTTACAGCACTTTGAAATTTTTGACCTAAAATACCCTATTTTTAACTATTTAAGATGGGGGTAGGGGAAATAAATTTATGTTTTTGGTCACTTTTACATATACTGTGAATATGAAATGTAACAACAACTTGGCTAAATAGTTACTCATCACTCTCATTTAAAAATTTGATCAGAATGATGACATTATCATGTTAAATTCCAAGATGGCGTCCATTAAGGTGGGAAAAACTATGTTTTTAATGTAAAAATAATTTTATTGTTATCAAAGTACAATACAATCCCAATACAATATTATACATACAGGAATAAAAAAAAAACAAAGTTAACCCAACGAAAAAACGAAATAGTGAAATTTTGCTTTAAAATACCAATTTTTGGATGGGGATATGGGAAAAATGTTTATGTTTTTAGTCACTTTTACCTTTTTTTTTTCTATAACTGTCAAAACTGACAGGACCTTAGTTAAATACTTACCCATTATAGTCGTTTAGTGATAGGGTGGGTCCAAACACAGGGCCGACTAGACCCTCGGTCAGAGTCCCGGAATAAACTTCCCTTGGCTTATGGGAGAGTTTTTTTAGCTTTGTATGACCCAAAATTTTGCTTTTAAGCCAAAATATATCAAAATAATGTTATATGGATAAGCAAATCATTATTTGTGGTGTGGTGACCTCGTCGTGGCGTCGGACGTTGGGAGTCTAGGCCTGTCAGACGGGAATTCCCCACCTCCCAAGTAAATTTGGAATGATGAAGTCAACACACCAAATTCCAAGACTACGACTATCAAAATTAAAGGAAATGTTTCCCTATTTAAATTTAATCTTTCTACACTACATTTTTCTTCATCATCATTAGTATACTATTATGTTGTTACTCTATAATATTATTAATATAGTATATCATTATTCTTATGTGTTTAAAAAAATTTATAGTTTATAATTTACATTAATATTAGCGTTAGTACTGTTATTCTTAATATACTGATGTCATTATTATTATTATCATCATCATCTTCCTTATTGTCATCCCCATCATCATTATATTCCCCATTATAAGAAGGATGTTGATGATGATAACGAGGAGAAGAAAGATGATGAGGATGATGGTGAGGAAGAAGATGATGGTGCTTATGATTGATGATAATGGTTGTTGATGATAATGATAGTGATGATGGTGATGAGAATGATAGAATTAATGATTGATGAGAATGATAATGATGATGAATGATGAAAATCATCCCTCTCATCCTCACCCTTGTCCTTATCTTCATTCTCGTCGTCCTCATCTTCATCATCCTCATGATGATGATGGTGATTGATGATGAAAAGGATAATGATGAAAATGATGCTGATAAGGATGGTGAGGATAATGATGATAATGAGGAGAAGGATTTGGATGATGAGTTTGAAGATGATGAAAATAAGGATAATGATGATTATGATTGATGATAATGGTCGTTGATGAGGATGATCGTGATAATGATGAGGATGATTGATGAGAATGATGTTGATGAAGTTAATGATGACGAATGATGAGAAACATCCCCTCTGCCCCTTAACCTCATCTTCATTCTTGTCGTCCTCATCCTCTTTATTATCATCCTCATGATGAGGATGATGATTGATAATGATTAATAAGGATGATGATGTGGTTGATGATGAGGACAAGGATAATGATGGATGATGATGATAGATGATGATTGTAATGAGGATGATGATGAGGATGATATTGACAATGATGATGATGGTGAGGACTATGATGATGAATGAGTGATGATGGTAAGTAGGATAAGGATGAGGTTGGTGATGATGAGGATAAGGATGATGATGGATGAGGATTATTAGTAGGATGAAGGTGATGGTGTTAACAATAAGCCTATTGGTGAGGATGGTGATGAGGATGACGATGATGGATGAGGATCAATCAATCAATCAATCATTTTTCAAACGGTGTGGGACAATATCAGAGTGGACCCACTTTACGTGTAAATTCAAACAATGTGGACCCATTTTACGCAAAAATGTTAAATATCTGGACCCATTTTCTTACATTTTACCCATATTTAACTAAATATTAGGAATCTGGATCCATTTTATGCATAAAATTACATAATTTGGACCAATTTTTAAAATGTGGACCCATTTTTTGTGGACCCATTGGAAAAAATGGTGTGGGAATGTCCCACTGTGCCAATAGCTGGCTATGCCATTGATGATGATGAGGATGATGGATGAGGATGAATATGATGATGAGGATGATGATGAAGAAAAGATGATGATGGTGATGATTACAACGATCGATGATAGTAAGGATGATTATGATGATTAGACAACAATGAGAATGATGATGACGAATAGGATGAGGATGATAATGACGGATGATGATAATACTGTAATGATATCAATAGTGGTAATAAAAATATTATAAATAATATTATAATAAAAGAGTACTAACAATGTAATTCATTCTAATATTAAAATATAATTTTTAAATAACAGAAATACAATACAGTAATAATATATACATAATATTATTAATGATTTCAACAATAAGAAATAAGCATAATACTACTATTAAAATAATAATATTTATATATATTCTATATGTGTACATTGCTTTGATGAGATTGTAATTTGTACTTTGAGAACAATAATAATAATAATAATAATAATAATAATAATAATAATAATAATAATAATAATAATAATAATAAGATACCACACCCACCACCACCCTTTATTTCAAAATCCCATATATCGGCCCTTTTTCTAAGATTGCCTCTCATAAAATTCGTTTCCTTTCTAAGCAATTATGTAACGATTTTGAATTTAAGTTGGTTTTTTCTTCATTCAAAATCAAAAATTTGTTTTCAGTGAAGGATCCCGTCCCTGCCGGTCTCCGCTCTCGTGTTGTATATAAATTTGTGTGTGCTGACTGTAATGCCAGCTATGTCGGAGAAACTAGCCGACACTTCTCAACACGCGTGCGCGAGCACTTGGCAGTGGATAGGAACTCTCACATATTAAAACACCTTAAGAATTCACGCAAATGCATGCAAACTTGTAGTGAGGACTGTTTCCGTATTCTTGACTCCGCCCCATCAATTCATCATCTTAAAATAAAGGAGGCATTACATATTCAATGGGAGCAGCCCTCA